CTGGGGGAACTTCCTGTGGGAACCAGTACTTGAGCTGTGTGGTTGAGCTAAATTGCTGCTTTGCTTCTGCTTCCCTAGGGAAGGCTTTTTGTGCAGCTCAGGGTTTAATGGTTGACCTTATAGGTACTTCTGGCTCTTCAGAGACTCGGTGCACCTGGGTTATGTAGAAACTCTGCTCTGGGTCTTGGTTTTTTCATCGAACTGCATCACATACAATTCTGCATTCCTGACCAGTCTCCTCTGAGTGGTCCTGCGCTGATTGGGGGGTGGATCGGCTGTCCTTGCTGTATCCCATTGTTCTCCCAGTGGGCCTTTCTCCCCCACCACCCATGCTCTAAACACTTTCCATGGGACGGGCCCTGCACTGGTCCCTTGTGCTGACTTGCCGGCCTCTGAATGGCTCCCCTTTTTCAGCTGTTCTGGCTCCTCACTCCTGTGTGGGTCCATGGGAAACCTATTAGTGGTCTTGCTGTCCTGGGGGCCACCAAGGACCTCTTCTCCCCTGCTGCCTCCAAGTAACTCCATCTGAAGGGCACAGCTGTGGCTTCTGCCAGATCCTGCTCCATGTGCTCAGCAGCTCCAGCCTTAAAGTGGCCACAGCCTGAAATGCTCAGAGCAGCTTTTTCTTTCTCTCATCATGGTTTTTCCACCTTCATGAACTCCATAGGTCTCTCCTCCCCTTCTTCTGAGCTCCAGCAGCCCCGGCTTGGCTGATGTTACATTTTTATAGTTGTAAACTGGTTGATTTGTGGGAGAGAGTGATGCTGGGGACCATCTTGACCGGAACTCCTAACTCATAGATATTTGAAAGTCTCTATGCTAACTCCAATTTCTGGATCATCTGTGGGTCTCCTTTTTTCCTCTTGATTATTAGCCACATTTTCTTGACTCCTTGCATGCCTAGTAATTGTTTTTTGTTTTTGTTTTTGTATGACAGACATGTAGAGGCTCTAGATCAAGGGTCAACAAACTATGGCCTGCAAGCCAAATTTGGCCAGCCACCTTTTTTTTTTTTTTAACCCCCTGGGAGCTAAGAATGTTTTTTTATTTGTTTGTTTTTGCTTTTATTTTTAACATTTTAAGTGGTTATAGTTTAAAGTCTATAAAAGCAGTGTCTATATAGGAACCTTGATTTTTCCTGTTGGTCCCCAAGCCTAAATTATTTACTATTCTAGCCCTTTAGTAACAAATTTGTTGGTCTCTGCTCTTGGTGACGTTCTCTTCTACCATGAAGAGTTCCTCATGCTGTGTCAGGCAGATAAGGGAGGAGAAGATGGGTCTGGTCACAGATTGAGCTGGGTTGGTGCTGGGGTATAGAGCTCAGTCCAACTTTGGTTTGTTCTTGTTCCTTGGCTGTGGTTGAAAACCTGATGGGTCTCTATCTCCTCAGCCCTGAAAAACTGGAAGAGACTCAGTTCTACCCTTTGAGAAGTTTTAAGATTAGATCTTTAGCTATCACCTTTTAAAAAATATTGCATTATTAGAGATAGAGAATGACTTTACATAATGATAAAAAAGTCAATTCAACAGTAAGCTAGAATAATCCTAAATGGTATGTACATAACACAGTTTCAAAATATATAAAGCAAAAGTGGACAGAACTAAAAGTAGAATAAGATAAATCCACAATCATAATTTGTTCTTAGTAACTAGTAGACAAAACAAAGTTTAATAAGAAGATAGAAGATTTGAGCAGCACGATTAACCAATTTTGCCTAATTAACATATAATTGTAGAGCATTATACCAACAACTGCAGAACACACTTTAAATATTTATCAAAATAGACAATATGGAGGAGCATAAAGCAAATTTCAGCATATAGTAAAGGACCAAAATAACATAGAGATTATTCTCTGGCCACAATGGAATTAAATTAGAAATCAATGACAGAGACATAATTAGAAAATCCTCAGATGTATTGATAAAAATCTCAAAAATATCTATAAACAACTACAATTGATATCAGATTTTAGCAAGTTTGTGTGACAGGTCAACATACAAAATAATGATATTTCTGTACATTAGTAACAACATATTTGAAAATAAAACTATAAAAACATCATTTGCAATTGGACTGAAATTCCTAAAGTGCCTAGGAATAAATCTAACCTAAGTTTTACAAAACATGTACACTAAAATCTACCAAAAAAATTGCTGAGAAAGATGTAGAAAGACAGATAAATGCAGGAATACACCCTATTAATGGATTGAGAAAACAATCTCAATTCTCCTTAAATTGATCTAGGAGTTCAATTGAGTCCCAAACCATATCTCAGTAAGATTTTTATAGAAATTGGAAATCTGATTCTAAAATTTATATGAAACCAATTTTAAAGAACAACGTTAAACTTTTTGTTCATTTAAAGATACCATTAAGAGAGTGAGAAGTCAAGCCACTAACTGGGAAAAGATATTTGATTTGCAACATATATATCTGACAATGGACTCATATTCAGAATATGTCAATAACTTCACCATATCACTAAAAAAATAAAACATAGCCCTGAATGGGAATTCACAAAAAAGGATATCCAAATGATTATAAGCATATGAAAAGGTGCTTGGCATCATTAGTCGCCATGAAACTTCAAGTTAATATTATGATGAGCTACTGTTAAATACCAACCAGAATGGCTAAAATTTGAAAAGAATGACAAAAGTTTTAGTGAGTATGTGGAATAACTGAAGCTCTTATACTGCTAGTTGGAGTATAAATTGGTACAACTCAGTTCTGAAAACCGTTTACAAGTGTCTACTGAAGATCAACAAATGTATATCCTATGACCTAAACTCCATTCCTAAATAAATTCCCAACAGAAATGTATATGTTAATCAAAGCATATGTACAAAAATGTTCACAGCAGTATTATTTCTAAGAGCCAAAACCAGGAAACAACCCAATTGTCTATCACCTAAACAACCCAATTATCATCAGTAGAAAAGATGAATAAATAATGGTGCATTGCTATTTTCAGAAGCCTAGAAGATCTGCAAACTCACAAAGTAGTTCGCCTATTGGCACACTGATGCCTGTGCTTCCACAAGTAAATCTTCCCCTTTTCAACTAAAGCTTGACAAAAGCTTAGATTCTTATTAAAATGCATTTATGTAACACATTAATCCTTACCAGCACTCAGGACTACATTTCATGATATGGGAGAAGGTTGAGGAATTGGTTGTGGTGGGGTCTGTGTGCTGTGGGGAGTTCAGGGAGAAAGGTAGGGTGTGTCTGGGAGTGGAAATGCAAAAAACCCACATGACTAAAAGGAAGGATGGGGGTGGGTGTCAGAGACAAACTGCCTGTTTCATAATTCTGCTTCTGGTCTACATTCTAGGAATACCATACAGCGATGAAAATGAAATTCTACTTACCTGTAGCAACATGGAAGAATGTTATAAACATGATATTGGATGAAAGAAGCCAGTTACAAAAGAGTACACACTCTACAATTCCATTTATATGAAGACCAAAAAAGACAAAATTAATCTATGGTGTTAGAATTAAGAAAAGTGCTTAGAGAGGGCGTTATGAATTGGGGAGGGGGCAAAAGAGCCTTCTTTGATTTTGCTAATACTCTGTTTTCTTGATCTAGTTCACAAGATGGCAAACTTTTCCTGTAAGGAGCCAGACAGTAAATATTTCAGGCTTTGTGGACCACACAGTCTCTTTCACAACTACTCAACTCCATCTGTTGTTGTGCAAAAGCAGTGATATATAATATGTAAATAAATGGGCATTGCAGTGTTCCAATAAAACTTTATTTACAAAAACAGGCAGTGGACTGGGTTTGGCAAATCCCTCATCTACATTGATTTGGTTACATTTGTGTGTAAATTTATGAAAATTCATTGATCTGTACACTTAAGATTTAAACATTTTTCTCACTATATGCTATACTTCAGTGAATACATTTTAAAAAATACAACAAAGCTGAAAGTCATTAAGAAAATAACAAGAGCGGAAGTTAGCAGTTAGGATTCACTAGTCTGCTTGTGATGCTTTCTGAGATTTGTCTTATGCTGAAAAGATACTGCAGTATTTATTCGGGCACTACCAATTCTAGCCATATAAAAGCATCTTTTCAAGCACTCAGTGTACCAACATCATCATTCATTTCCTTCTTTATGGGAGAAGACTCCATTAAGAGACCTCAAAGTAGTTAGTTCTCTTAATGAATTCCCTTTATTAAGTTGCATTTTTGATGCCCAAATTGATTTCTTCTCCAAGTCATATTATTCTGCCATTCTATAACGGAAACTCTAAAGAACATCAGTAGATACTTAGGACATAAGCAATCTAAGAAACATTAAATATCAATTCTCCCACTTGTTTAATTTTCAGATTTTCCCAGAGAAAACTGCTTCCTTCAGAAATAATGCATCTTGTCCATCCCATGCCTAGTTCTACCCCTATGTTATAGAGCTTAAACATAATTTTCTTAAAAAGGAAAAAAAATACATATGCACTCAATACATCTGCTAAGGGATTTTATTAGCTTTTCCTCCCAGGAGTTAAGAATAGGAGAATAACAACAATGTTATAGCTAACACATACTGAGCACATGCTATGAGTCAGGCATTGTTCTAAGCTTTTTCCATGCATTAACTCATCTAAACTGCATGAAAACTCTCTTAAGTGGTTAACCTTATTTTTATCCCCATTTTAGTGATGAGGGCAAAGGGAGATTAAATAATTGCCCAAGGTTTCACATTTAATAAATGATAGGGTAGGGATATGAACTCAGATAATTTACTTTCAAAACCCATGGAAGTAGATACATGCTAAGAGAAATAGCTTTGGTTTAATTCTAAGGAAATCTGATTCCTTAAATATAAGTGGAGCACAACTCAAGCAAGGCCTTCCTGCCTCTGCGTTTAGGACAGGAATCCCCACACACTGATGGCCCCGATGAGAACAAGCATATGTTGAGTAGAATGTCACTAGAGATCTAAAATTTGCATTGATAACAAATAGGATAGAGTAGAATATTTCCATACTCATTTCTAAGTATTCATCAAAGAGTCCGTAGGCATTCATTGGCTGAAGGTTGTAGTCCTTTTCCCATTGTGGGAAACTTATTTTTCTTTCAGGCCCATGTTCTTGTCGTACTTTTCTTCTAGTCCACCAATTCTGAATTAACCTGCACAAAAAGATCAAGTTCTTACAAGAAAAAAAGAGAAATGTAACTGTTCATCAGACAAGTAATAAAAGAGGAGAGTTAGAATACAGAACCATTGCTTAAAAAAATTCAGAACAGGCTATCAAGGAAATACAGCCTCAGATTAGAAAGTTTCAATGGAGTCTATCCTTCAAGCATTTCTACTTCCAAGTAAACGGAATGACTGATGAACTTATTTTGATCATCCATGAAACTGTTGCATGTTTGGCATTGCCTATGAGGGTTGGACAGAGGACTGAGAACATCTGTAAACTGATCTCTCTGGACAAAGACAACACCCAGACATCTGAGGTGACAAAGATTTGGCTAGGGTGGCTCGACTTAGCACCCATGAACAGTCCTACCACCTGGTGCTGACCTGCATATTCTGACTTCAGGAACTTAGAAGAACTGCAAACCCCCAAAACGCTTCACCCCTTGGCACACGGAAGCTCGCAGTTCCACTACTGGACTTGCCTGCTCTCGGCTTGAGCTGGACTGAGGCTCTGACTCCCACCTGATGATAATTTTTTCTCATCTTGCACTGGTGAGGTGAGCACCTAATCCTTAGCAGTGTTCAGTGTGTGTTTTATAATACGGGAAAGGGTTGAGGGGGAGGCAGGTCTGTGTCCTGCATGGGGCAAGAAAAAAATGGAGGGGTATCCAGAAGTAGACATGCCAAAACAAAAATAAAAACGTGAAATAAAGGAAATAAAGAATGGGTTTCAAAAGCGACCTCTGCCTACTTCACAATTTTGCTCTATGTCCCTATTACTAGATGATAAAATATAGTTCCCTTGATGTCTTTGATATTTTAATTGCAGTTTATACCTTAAAGTAGAATACCATGCTTGTAATTTTTTTGTTTAATGCCTTATTTTAAAAAAATGTTTCACAGAAAACATCAAACACCTGGAATAAGATTTCTAAAAATAAATCTAACAATAAAAAACTCCTGGCATTGGTTCTGACAAGGAGCTAAGAGATGACTTTCTGAAGTGAACCAGGTTCCAGCTGATTGTTCTGGCTGAGTGCTTCTCCCTGAAGCTTGGAGTTCTCTATGTCTCTACAGAGACAGCGAGCTGACATGGAAACCACTAGGTGTGGGATAAAAGCAGAAATAGGAGTGTTGCTGATGTATGTCCCTTTAAAACTTAACTGACCAGAACTGAGCAAACACAGCAGAATTCAAGGTTATCCTTACAAAGGTGATGCAAGTTTTTGCCCACTGTCGTCCACAAAAAATATTATCATCAGGTGGTAATATTTTTACTGGTTAAGATATGCTGACTTAGAAATACTCCTGTGTCTTTTTTGAATCCCTGAACTTTTCTACTTTCCATAAATTCTTTTTATACACAGTCTGAATTTAAGGTAATTTAAAAAAAAAAAATTACCACTCTAGATTTATTGTGGGGATGGGGAGTGGAGATCTAACCAATGTGTCATAAATAGCCAGGGACTAGCAATGCTGAAGCCCAAAGGGTCACAGGCACAATTTAGAGCAGCCTGCAAGCAACTGTCCAATATTTAGAGGCCCACGGAGACTTCTTAAAGAATATTCTTTCATTTTTTGTGACTTGTGCTAAATCTCCCCAAAGAGATAATGTTTATTTTCACGATTGCCTTTGAATATCTAAGTATGAGCACTTAGTTCCAGGTAGACACGCTGGCTTAATTGCTAGTCTGTATTGCTTATCTTACTTGCCACACCTAGAAAAGCCAGTAACGAGCAATGCTGCTTCTCAATGATTGATATCTAAGGTACTTACGGGTAGCCAAGTTCCATGAAATTATTCCAGGTCTGCTTTAGCACCATTATAATACCCATTTGCATACAGAGATCAATAAGGCATCCACTAGGGTGGCACTGCAAGGTAAGCAAACACAGAAATTCAAGAATCAATGGAGAGGAAGAAAGGGTGTCTGGTTTCTAATCTACACAAAATTGCCCTAACGCTGTTAAATGCGAGTCTGTAGGAAACAAGGAATGACGGGAGAATACAGACCTCTTCTAGTCTCCACCTGTTTATCAGCCTCAAGTAGGCACCTGGGTGTCCTGTAAATCTTCAACACACACAGAAAAACAAGCTGTTAGCATTCTGTAGATTTCAGCTTTCAGTGGATATTATATTCAGTTTAGCACATCCTCCAAAGTGAATTACTGGCCTAGTAAGTATCAGGTTTGAGGGAATTAGGAAGCCCTCCAGAGCTGTCATAACTGCAGCTTCTGGAATTTTCCAGGGGACATTTCTCTTCTGGCCTTTCTGTCTGACTGCTGATCACAGAGGCCAGTTCTTGCTGCTTGCTGTGACTTTTAACATTTTCTACTGAATATCAAGTGCTCTGGCCTGTGTAAGCAGCAGTTTTACTCCTGGATTTAAACACATTTGATCTCTCTCAATCATAATAATGCTGTTTTTTAAAAAGAGATTATTAAACGATTTGACTAGAATTGCGTGCTGTTGGAGTAGCTAGAAACTGAGGACAGCTGCTGTATCCACCTCACCAAAACCCTATACCTGGCCTTCCCTGTTTCCCATCTCCTCAGAAATGCTTCCAGATGTAATGGAGTTCATGGGACATTAGCGCTAAATGTGGAATCCTTTCAAATCCTCACAGGTGCTGGATTTAGAAGCTACACAATCCTCTGGCATCCCATTTCCACCCTTTTCCTGTTGGGATGTCCTTTCCCCTTCTGTGAAGTCAGGATCTAGGGCATGCTGCAGGCCACCTCCCATTGTGTCACCTGCTTGCACAGGTGTGAGATCCAGGGGCCTGATGCAGGTGCAGACGGAGGCTAGAAGTTTTCAGACCATCATTCACACGTGCAAATTATTTTCCTCCACTCACCTTAGCAACAAAAGCTACACAGACACTTGAATGGAGGAGACTATTTCCCGGGGGTGCAAGGTGGTTATGAGATTTGGGAAGGGAAAGGAGGCAGCTGCTCTTTTCTTTCTACACTTTGTATAAATCACACTAAAGGAGAAGCTTCTCCATCATCTCTGGTCAGTGACCTCCGGGCGCTCTGTCCTCGGCCTGCGGAGGTGTGGAGAGGTCAGGTTCTTACCTTCCCAGGAAGAACGCGATGTAAAATGTGGAGCTGTTCAGATTGACAAACTGAAAAAGAAACATTTTCAGGGTGAAGCTGTTCTCCCACTCGGACTCTGTGCGAGGCTGTTCTGTGGACAAGAGGGGAGCAGAGTGTGAGAGGTTGAAACTCACCCCCAGGATGGGAGCAGAGGGGGTCTAGGGGGCTGCCAGAGACTCCAGTTCGCCTGTAGATGGCGTGTGATGGAACAGACCATCTATACATGGGACCGTCAAGCTCACAGACCAGCTCCAAGAAGGGTTTAGTGGGAAGTGGCTATTGAAGTATCTGAGGGAATTGAATATCCAGATTGTTCCATTGTTACAGGATGCCTGGAGAGCCTGGAGAAGAGACAGCCAGGCTGAAGTGGCCTCATTCCCAGTCCTGGGTCCCTGCAATAGCCACCCCTTTTCCTCTTAGTTCCTACCAGTGACTAGGGCCTGTGGAGTCAGGTCCCCTCCCAGGTTCTAGTAATTCCTTGGTCTCGATGTCTAGTTCTAGTGTTACGCAGGCTACCGCATACTGTGGAGTGAAACCCTTACCACAGAATGCTGAGAATACTGGGCTCCTTTGCTTTTATCCTGTTCTACCATCTTCCATCCTTATGGACAAACACCGAGGAGATGACCTCCCCTTTACAGTTTTTACTGCATATCAACAATCTGTGTCTTACAATTTCCTGCCCTCAGTCAGGGGCCAATTCTCATCTCCTTGTATTTCAACTTCCATAAAGCAAATGCTGTCTGGACATTGTGTTGTGATCCAAAATATGGATCTATTTGCCCTCAAGATTGAACTTCCAACTTAAAATCTCATGTCAAAGGCATTTATCCTTCCCTAGGAGCTGCATTCACCTCAAACAGTGCCAAACAATGCAGTTAATGCAATAGCATTTTCCCTGTTTCCATGTTCCCTGAGCTTCTAATTGTTCATTTAACATTTCATCCCATTAATTCCTCTTCCATGAATTATAACTCAAAGTGCTTCCTGGGAGCGTATCTGAGAAGGGCAGGGAGAAAGAAAATCTCACTAAAATGATTTGAATGTCAGTTCAGAATAAGGCTGTACTGCTGTTGAAGGCAGAAAAGATAAAAGATCCTTAATGGGCTTTAGTTCTATTTCACTTCTGCTACTGAACTCCTGGTTACATGGGAATGTCTCTTGGGTTGCCAGCCAGCTGGGATTCCAGGTGTCCCATGAATCAACCAGGGCTGATTCTCCACTGGCATTTTTGCCAGGCTGGATCGAGGTGCTACTGGACACAGTCCACCAGTGGGCAGTTACCTCTTCCAAGGGCATAAACCTCTTTATCGTTTTGGGCAAGGGGTAGTAGTGATGAGAGATTTCAATGATATTAAAGGAGGTAATGTAAAGTGCCTAGCTCTGTATCTGGCACATTGAAAGGCTCAGTAAATTTATTACCTATTATTATGATGATTATAATAAAATAAAAACACTTTTGTGGTATATTTTCTCCTGGACAAGCTACATATGGGAATGCATTAAAGCAAGTTTTAAGTGGGAGCATGTAATTTTCTCAAATTGCATAGAGCACAGTGACTAACACCTTGTTTAAAAAACTGGGACAATTTCTATGTCTTGAAAATGTGGTAAATATGCAGCTTATAGCTGTCTACCAGATTGTTCTAGTGCTTTGTGGGGTCAGAGAAATGTTCTTAGGGGTGACCTGTCCAGATGAATGTTATTTCTACAAATGTCTTTTTCCTGGTAAAAGACTTGCAGTCTTCAAAGCAACTATCTTTGCTGTGATTTTACATACCACAAAAACTTGATACTTATAAACTAAACACAAATTGTAGGCAATAGAAAATGAACATTTCTCTAAATGATACTGAACACTTAATATACATGTATTTTTGAGATGCTTTTATTTGTGCATGAAGAAAAAACCTACTTTAATTACATTAGCTCATGATAGATAATGTTCATGACAAGTTTTAAAACCTTAAATAGAAAAGATTCTCCAGTGACTAGATATATTTAAAATGTTCCTTGAAGACAAAGAAAAAATTGTTGTATGCAATTTAAAATAAGGGGAATGGTTCTTTTCAGCAGTGTTCAAGAAAAGAAATTTTGAAAACACACTTTAAACTACAATATTGTACCATGAAATAAAGAGTTCCACTTACCTAAATTAGTCAGAAGCAGTGCAACTTTTTCATAGAGCTGTAAAATAAATTTCATACATTTAACAAATGTATGGCAGATGTTCTAAAATCTATAATTATAAAGGAAATAGGTAGTCAAATCATGAGTTTAAAGTAATTTCATTAACCATTCATTACTCAAACAATGAAAATATTGTGAAAAATTGTGCCCTTTCAGGGCAAGAGAGAAATATACAAGGTCCCATTTAACTTTTTAAAAAAATTCCACTTCTTATGCTGGGGTGAATAATTCCTTGGCAACTAGGCTAGCTGCCACTAATTAGCACCTTTCTAAGTGATACTGGGTAAGTCACAACATTCCCGAGCCTCAACAACCTGAATGTGAAAACTCTAAGACCACTTCTGATGGTGAGATTCTGCAATCTTATTTTTTATGGACTGCTGTAAATTCTAGATGACAGCACTCATAAACACCGAAGTGATTAAACATTATTGGAAATTTCCAGAGGTTAGAGAATATTCTGTTTTTCCATTAGTGCACTGGATGCATCCTTAATGTGCCCAGCCATCTGGTAAATGGATGGTGCTAAGAGGGAAACGAGTGTGAGTGTGTGTGTGTGTGTGTGTGTGTGTGTGTGTGTGTTTGTACAGAGGTGTAAAGGGTATACCCTGCTCTAGGAGATTCCACAAAGAGGGTATAAATTGAGAGCTGGAGCAAGTGCTCTCTTTAAAATGAAAGATGAAAAATGAAAAGGAAAAGGAAAACTAATGGATTTAAATAATGTAGAAAATAAGATCACATTTAGAATAAAGTAGTGAAAACGCACTGGTTAAAGTTCCCCAGACTGGAATTGTAGCTTTGCCACCCAGCCAGCTGGAGGACTTTGGCAAGTGACCTCACCTCTTCTTCAGACCATCATTTTCCTTATATGTGGGTGGGTTGGGTATTGAACTCACTGGCCTTAAAGTCCTTCTTAATGAAACAGGCAAAAAACTCGGACTGGATGGCTCCAAACTTTCAGCAATAACTATGGTTTGCTACATTAAGATATAATTAATATGGCCATTGGATGAAAACTTGTATATAGAAACCTCGGACTCTATATAATAAACAGTAATGTAACTGGAGTCCAATGTTAAAAAAGATAGGTATAATTTTCAGTAAAAAAACCCTGTGGTATAGATTAGCCATACGCATTTGATCATAAAAATAAAATCCTGGTAAACAACAGATTAGAACAGAAGTTCTAATCAAATATGTTAATATTACAAAGATGGTGTATCATTAAAATTATTTAATTACATAATTATACAGGAAAATTAGATTCAACTGGTAAGACAACCTTTCTCGAAAATACAATTCTTTTAATTAATTTATTTATTTTTGCCATTTTTTGAAGAGAAGTCCAGGTATTTATTCCTCATTTAATCAATGCAAGTACTCAGACCAAAGGAAACGTACTGCTTTTTTTTTTTTAAAGATAATTTGTAATACATATATGTGCGGTACAAAGTTGACTTTCAATAGCTGTGTACAATGTGTGATGGTGGGATCAGGACAGTCAGCTTATTCATCATTACAATATGCAATCATCTGTTAATCAATTTCTCATTAAACCCCCTCCTTTTCCCTCTCCCCTGCCCTTTCCCACCTCTAGGAACCATGTTTCTTTTCTTTCCTTCTAAAAGTTTAACATATTAGTGTGATTGCTATTTCTTTCTCTTTGTCTCTCTTTATTGTTTATTTGTATATTCATGGATTCAGTTCCCACTTATGAGTGAGGACATGTGGTATCTTTCTGTGTCTGGCTTATTTCACTCAACATAATTTTCTTCAGGCTCATCCATGTTGCTGCAAATGGCAGAATTTCATTCTTTTTTATGGCTGAGTAGTAAAAAATACAATTCTTGATTACCCTGTTTATCTTTTAAATCTTTCATGTTGACATACACTTGTCAAGGTGCCTCATTCTGCACCCTTGTCTAAAAGGCCTTGGGAGCTGATAAGCCATTGTTGCTTGGATATGGACTCTGAAAAAATTGGAATTTAAAAAAGAAACAGCTTAGGAGTCAACATGTGATTAAATTAACCTTTTGAAAAGTAAGATAAAGTGTAAGATAAAATGTTAGGGATCCATGGCATCTGTGAATTCCTTATATTTATGTTAAAGATACAAAAATACGCGCAGTGAGACTTCGGGCAGGATACAGCAGGAAAGGGCACATACGCAGAGGAGCTCATGGCCGCCAAGGGATCTTCACATAAGTAGTTTCTGGGAAAAAATCTGGTTTCTCATTATGCAGTTGAGATAGAAACCACGTGTGTTCTGATAAGAGCAGTGGAAAATCTAAGTTTCCAACCTGGATGCCACAAATTCTGATTGTTAATATCTGTAACCGACAGAAAGCTTTCTGATCTTAAGGATTTGCTTAAAAAAAAAAAAAAAGCCACAAGCATTTCTAATTTGATCTGGTCAGCCTCATCAGTGCATGTGGGCTTGATCTGATGCAAGCCATATTCTTCGGTTTACTTCTTTTTGGAAAAAGAGATTGTGGTTTTCACTGTTTACAGTGTAATGAACTATCTGATTCATACCGGTATGGCTGAATAAAAAGGAAACTAGTAACATTTTAGTCTCCTAAAAAGTGTCCTCTGTGTTAAAAAAAAAAAGTGTCCTTTGTGCTCTTTTGTTTTAGTGTCCTTTGTTGGCCCGTTTAGCTTGCAACCACCATATTGAGATGTTCTTTGGTCACTAGTGAAGCAGAACAGAATCGAAAGAAGAGGATGAGCAAGAAAAAACCATCCTACTTGCTCCTATTCTATTGGAATTTAAAAAAGAAACAGCTTAGGAGTCAACATGTGATTAAATTAACCTTTTGAAAAGTAAGATAAAGTGTAAGATAAAATGTTAGGGATCCATGGCATCTGTGAATTCCTTATATTTATGTTAAAGATACAAAAATACGCGCAGTGAGACTTCGGGCAGGATACAGCAGGAAAGGGCACATACGCAGAGGAGCTCATGGCCGCCAAGGGATCTTCACATAAGTAGTTTCTGGGAAAAAATCTGGTTTCTCATTATGCAGTTGAGATAGAAACCACGTGTGTTCTGATAAGAGCAGTGGAAAATCTAAGTTTCCAACCTGGATGCCACAAATTCTGATTGTTAATATCTGTAACCGACAGAAAGCTTTCTGATCTTAAGGATTTGCTTAAAAAAAAAAAAAAAGCCACAAGCATTTCTAATTTGATCTGGTCAGCCTCATCAGTGCATGTGGGCTTGATCTGATGCAAGCCATATTTTTCGGTTTACTTCTTTTTGGAAAAAGAGATTGTGGTTTTCACTGTTTACAGTGTAATGAACTATCTGATTCATACCGGTATGGCTGAATAAAAAGGAAACTAGTAACTTTTTAGTCTCCTAAAAAGTGTCCTCTGTGTTAAAAAAAAAAAGTGTCCTTTGTGCTCTTTTGTTTTAGTGTCCTTTGTTGGCCCGTTTAGCTTGCAACCACCATATTGAGATGTTCTTTGGTCACTAGTGAAGCAGAACAGAATCGAAAGAAGAGGATGAGCAAGAAAAAACCATCCTACTTGCTCCTATTCTATCTTTGAAATATTTATTTTTCAAGAAACGTAATAAAATGCAAACCAGTAAGTGCCCCTAATCAGTCATAAAGAGGCATAATCTTTTGTTAGGTTCTAGAGAACTTCTGTAAAATAATATGAATTTTATTTTTAAAGTTCATACTACGTAAAAATAAATACACATCATCAAATCCAGAAAATAGAAATCCCTTATAGACCTGCTTCAGTTTGGATTAGACAAATCTAGCAAAAAGTCAGAAACAGGATATGTGATTTACAATAATTACATTATTTAAAAATTAGAGTAATGAATATAAATTAAAAACCAATCTTGCTCTCAAGGATTTTATATTTGATTAATGAAAAACTATTAATAATGTCTAAATGATGGTTTTTTTTTGTAAGACCAGAATGGCCAAAATTTTAAGTAGCTGAAAACAACTTAGATAGCTGTTTGATTAATGAAAAACTATTAATAATGTCTAAATGATGATTTTTTTTTGTAAGACCAGAATGGCCAAAATTTTAAGTAGCTGAAAACAACTTAGATAGCTGTAAAAGTTCTAAATTATTGGGTCATGAAAATATCTTAAATTGAATAATTTCAGAAAAATGGTAATGCAATTGGCCCCTGCACAAAAGGGTCCTGGCTGATGTTGCTTTTAGAGTTCTTACGTATGCTTTTTTTTTTCTTTCCTTTCCCTCACTATGGCTGGTAATTTCCTGTTCTCAACAGTACTCTTGCCTTAGTAACCTTAATTTTATTCTAATTTGATGTTGGCTTGGAAATCAGAGCACCAAAGGTGTTCAGATTATATCTAAAACAAATGATAATAAACCATAAGGGCATTCCTAAGAATAATACCTGCTAGCTTCAGTGCGTGGACCCCACATCATCCATTTTGGCTACTCCGAATCCCTTCGTGACAGAAACAAATGTGAAATGCCTGGTAGCCTAGCTCCCAGCACATAGCAGATGCTTTGTAATGTCAGCA